GGTTGCAAATATCAAAAAATTTCTATATGTGACACGGCACCAGAGTTAAGTTAGGGTTTTTCAAAAAGCTGACACACCGAGCTCAAAAGGTTCGCCATCACGGTGCTGTCCTCTCCTCTGTTTTTACTCTTTTTACTTATGCTCTCCCCTCTGTCTGAAGTGCCATGTCCCCTGCATGTCACCAGACTGACTCTTGCTCCTTTAAAAAGACTCAGCTCAGCCCCTACCCTCATTCCATCCCAACTGCACTGTACATGCGCGCCCGCACGTGGTATTTTGTGGAAGAGCCACACTCAAGGGGCCAAAGAGCAGCATGTGGCTCGCAAGCCACAGTTTGCCGACCACTGCCCTAGCCAGTTTTACTCAATGGATAGAGCGTTGACCTGCAGAATAAGGGTCCCAGGTTCAGTTCTGGTCAAGGGCACATGCTTGGGTTGCAGGCTCGAGTAGGGGGCATGCAGGAGGAAGATCAATGATTTTCTCTCATCATTGATGTTTCTCTCTCTCTCTCCCTCTTCCTTCCTCTCTGAAATCAATAAAAATATATTAAAAAAAGAAAATAGAAAAATCTAAACGTTCACAGTTTGGTCCAAAATGCACTGTTCTGATTGGTTGAAATAGAGCCCCTCTGGTTGTTAAAGATGCTAATGAGGATATAGCTGCACAGTTCTGATTGGATGGGGAAAGTCTCAGTCCTATTTATTGAATTATGATATCTGGAACTCCTTTATTTAATTAATTAATTAATTAATTAATTATTTTGTTAATCCTCTGGAGGATATTTTTTTCATTGATTTTTAGAGAGTGTGTAAGGGAGGGGGAGAGACACAGAGAGAGAAACATTGATGTGAGAGAGGCACAATTGGTTGCCTCCTGCACGTGTCCCAACTGGGGCTGGGGTTTGAACCTGTGACACTCCATTGTGCAGGCTGACACTGTAACCACTTGGCAACACTTGCCAGGGTTGTCTCTGTTGTTTTGTAAAATGAGGATGATAGTGTAACCAAACAAACAATGGGTCCATGCTGCCTGTCACTACTCAATCCAATTAAGCAGAGCAAGGTTGAATCATATGAGTGTTTATTCCAATATTGCCGTCAGTATGGGAGAGCAGCAGGTCATTCACAAAAATCTGTTCTGCAGCCCCCTCCCATCCCCATAAACTGATTGCTTATATAGGTAGAAGTTCAAAGGAAAGTAGGCAAAAGGGCAAATGGGCAGTTTACAGATATGCAAAAAAAGGCTAGGGATCTTCAAAGGGCTTGGTGATATGCAAGGGCTGGGGTTACATGGGGAAATAAGGAGAGGGTAGGCCAGGTGGGTACTTAGCAGGTATGCAGAAGGGCTGAGGATCTTTGAAGTGCTTAGTGATATGCAGAGCTTTAGGTCTTCAAAGGGCTAGAGATTCTGGTTTCTGCAACAAAGCTGTTCATCTTCCCATGATAATCAGCAGCTCCAAATGGGGAGGGTGGGCTGCACTTCCAGGTGAGCTCCCAGGTCCTGAGTGCAGCTGCCAGCCAGGTTAGAATGTGCCTTCTTCAATTTGAATAAAACAATCACAGTTAACAGAGCATAATTAATATTTCTTACAATACTAGCTGGTTCCACAACATTCTATTTCTGCCCCCTTTCAATAGTAGTACCTGTCATCATAGGGTTTGTAATGCTTAATTCTATGTCAACTTGACTGGGCCACAGTGCCCAGATATTGGGTCTCACATTATTCTGGATGTTTCTATGAGGGGTTTTTAGATGAGATGAACAGAATTTAGTAACACTGGAATTAGTAACATTGGAATTAGTAGAGCAGATTGCCCTCCACAGTGTGGTCAGCCCCGTGTAATCAATGGAAGGCCTGAATAGAACAAAAGAGTGATGTCCCCTGAGCTAGAGAGAACTCTGCCAGCAAACAGCTGCATCAGCTCTTTCCTGAGTCTCCAGTCTGCCAGCCCACCCTGCAGATTTTGGACCTGCCAGCCTTCATAATTGTGTGAGCCAATTCCTTAGACCAAATCTCTCTTTATATATACACACATCCTATTGGTTCTGTTTCTCTGGAGAATTCTGTCTAATACTGACTTGTCATGAGGGTTAAATAATTTATACACGCAATACTCAAAGATTCGGACAGGGGTGGGTGGCTGCACTAGCAGACTATAACTTCAGTGTTTGCACCTGTCTGCGTTCAGCTTCATGGATGCCTATGTTCTCTTGCTCTTTGAACATACCTGGGGCTACTGAAAATACCCCCATTCCCTCAGCAATAATTGAGGGCCATTTGGGGCCCCCAAAGGTCAGCCACTGTTTCTGTCATCTGAAAGGGTCCAGGACGGGGCTGAAATGGGTCTGTCTGGCATGGTTTGGAATGCATGGGTTCTTGACTTTGTGCAGGAAAGAATTGAAGACATGGGTGTAGGTGATTTTGAGATTATGTTTATTAAAGCGTGGGATGGTGAAACAAAGGAAGGGCTTAGGATAGGAGAAGCAAGATCACAGTACCAGAAGTGAGTCTAGGTCAGTGGTTCTCAACCTTCTGGCCCTTTAAATGCAGTTCCTCATGTTGTGACCCAACCATAAAATTATTTTCGTTGCTACTTCATAACTGTAATGTTACTACTGTTATGAATCCTAATGTAAATATCTGATATGCAGGATGGTCTTAGGTGACCCCTATGAAAGGGCTGTTCTACCGCCAAAGGGGTCGCGACCCACAGGTTGAGAACCGCTGGTCTAGGTAGACAATAGTAGCAGAAAGGAAGTCATAGTAACAGAATTAAGCCTAGGTGGGTCTGCTTTGTGTTCACTAAAAAGTTATTAAAAGGAGGGTTCCCACAGCTTAGGAGAAAGAAAGTAAACTTATGTGCATGAGGAAAGGGGTGGGGCACAGTGCATGCACTGGGCCCTTTGGGAAGCTATTTCGGTCTTTTGCAGGGAATTTTAAGGGAGGCCTCACTCAGAATATTCATCAGCTTTCCAGGTGTGTCCTTCAATATGCTGATGCATCAATCTCTGCTCAAATTCACCTCTATCTTGGATTTGTTAGGCTCTAATTGGTTTTTTTCCTTTCTATTGATTCCCCTAACTTTATTCATTTGGGTTTGGCTGGCACTAATGGCACTAACTGGGTCTCTGTTATCTATCTCTCTGACTGGGGTTATTTAAGCTCCCTGCTCTCTGGCTGGGAAGGAGACATGTTAAACCATCAGCTCCTAAGGGTCCTTAGTTAGGGAGGAGAGTGACTTGTGATTTATCAGCTGGGTGTTAATTGCTCAGCTGTTCCTGTAACTAGTTTGTCTCCTTCCACTAGTTTTTTCTCCTTCCACTTGTCCAGGAATTTTCCTAGCTTCTTACTATCCTGCCTGGCATGGCAGGAAGTGGGAGGTTGACCCCTGCAATGACTGTCTACCTTGTGGCTCCACAATCAACAGAGCCTCAGCTGGGAGTTAAAACTTGGAGGACAGTGCCTGGGACAGGCCCTGAGCTACCAGTCTCCACCTGCAGCTTCCTGTAGAGAGGAGCTAAACTTCCTCTACAAGATTCTTGATTTTACCTTGAGAATGAATGAAGTAAATTAGAACCAATAAATGGGCACTGTCCCATGCAATGTGAAACCCAGTGCAGGGTGTGTCCTGAGAATATTCTTCCATGCTTTTCAGGTTCTTACAGGAGACTTTTGGATTTTTGATGAAGAAAGAAGCTCTAAGACATATTGGCATGTTCTTTTATTTCTCTTAAGACAGCTGAGGACATCAAATTAAGAATCAAATCATATACCTGCCACCTTCAGCAGAAAACTGGGGACACAAGATTACATTTAAATCAAGTTCATTGTGTCAGCTTTCTTGTTCTTGGAGGTGGAGAGCCAGAGTCTGGGGTGCAGAGTCCTGACGATATCTTGCCTTCTGCACAAGCTTACCTGCCTGGGATCAGAAAGCAGCCACATTACATGGATCTTAGTAAAAGAGTACCCTTCTCAAGTACAGGTGTCTTGTTAGACTCCACTTCCATTAGAGGACAGCTCCAGGAGCTGGGATCTAAAGTTCCAAGAGCTGGGATCCAAAGTTCCAAGAGGTGGGATCCAAAGTTCAGTAATAATCTCATTCAGAAGAAGGTCCTGACAGAGTCAGCCAAATGTATTGAACATGTTAGCAATGTGACCTGAGCAGAAAAGTAATGAGTCCAGGAGGTGGCTCCTCTGCACATTATTATGGAACAACTGGGACTTCTGTAGGGGCACAGGCAGTGGTACCTACGTCGGGTGTAAGGGGATGGAATCACTTTGCACAGCAGGAGTTATCTAAGCTAAGACTGGGATCCATTCCCCCTGTGGCCTCGATCTTCACCTCTCTTGTGGCTCTAGGAATCCAGTAGACTTCAGAATCAACAAAAAGCACAATTTGGGCTAATAGAAAAACCCAGCTCAACAAGAACAAGTGAAAAACAAATCTGTTTTTGCCCCTACTCCTAGTCATTCCAAACCTTCAAGGTGTCCATCTCCACTGTCTGTCTTCAGCCAGAAGTGACCTTTTTGCATCTGGATGGCACAGGGAAGGCTGTGGTGGCCACTGGACAAGGCTCTTGGGTGAGGCTTCTACAGGGTTGGAAGACATTCTGCCAGCTGCAGAGGCACATTCCTCCAGAGGCTGTCATTCTACCTGGACAGCTGGCCTTTGAGAGCCAAGGGAGGCAGCCTGGAAGCCCATGTGGCAGCACTGAGCATGGACATGTAATGCCCAGCAAAGGCATCATGAAAGCACCATAACTTTAGGGTTAGAAGGCAATGTGTTTGCGTATTTATTTATTTATTTATTTATCTATCTATCTATCTTCACTGAGGACATGCTTAGAGAGAGGGGCAGAGGGAGGGAGGGAGGGGGAGAGAGAGAGAGAGAGGAAGAGAGAGAGAGAGAGAGAGAGAGAGAGAGAAACATTGATGTGAGAGAGAAATATCAGCAACATTATAGGTTGCCTTCCATACATGCCATGCCCCGCATTCGAACCCGCAACCCAGGTATGTGCCCTGACCAAGATTCAAACCAACAACCCTGCAGTGAACAGGACGACAATCAGCCAACTGAGCCACTCCGGCTAGGCAATGGCAATGTGTTTAGACATGAAGAAACCTAGACCCAAAGCCTGGACAGTCAGAGCCAGGACTCAGAAGCAGGTATTCTGACTTCAGCTGCCGAGCTTGTCATTAGCTCCCCTAGTCTCCTCCACGGCATCACTTCTCCCAGAGATCCACAATTAGGTGAGGATGGGTCTCCTTCAGGGCTCGGTAGAGTTGATCTTTGCAGGCCCAGTTCCAGGACTTGCTGAAGCTGAACAGCTTCCTCATCTTGTCCGGATTGGTGGGCTCAGCCCGCACCCTCTCATACTGCTCCTCGCTCAGCACCTGTCCATGCAGCTTGTCTAGGATTGCATCCACCGATGTCACTCGAGTCACCAGCTGTGCCCGATGTTGGTCCATAAAGTGCAGCAAGTCTAGGGCATCGGGGGGTGAAGGTGAGGCTGACAACAAATAAAGAAGGGCTCTCAACACAGTTTCTGCATCTGATCCCCACCTGTAGTTCTTCACTCACCTGATCTGCATCCTTGGCTCCTCCCCCACCCATGAAAACATTCAACCACAGAGAGGCACCTCTGCCTATACTCAAATACCTGATAGAGGCATATTAGGTTGCCCATGGAAGGTGCCAGGGCCTCCATGGGCAGAAATAAGAGTGATGGGAAAGGACTCTGCCCCGGGGCACACACCACTCTCCAAGGACCAATCCCTTGTGAGGTGTGAAGAGTTCCCTTCTTTCTCTCCTCCCTCCCTCCAGGACCAGGTAGCACACTCCAGAACTGCCATGGCTCCTGTGGTCTCTAACACTGTTACTGACCTGTCGGGGCTTGAGAGACCAGGGGAGCTGCAGGTCTGAGGTCTCCTGGAGGAAAAAAGATGTGAATAAGCATTGGTATCAGTGGTAGTTATTAACACAAATGATAAGCCTTAAAAATCCTACCCATGTCTCACTTCTGAGATTCTTTGATCCCTAGAAGTGGCTACAGACTAATTCTGATAGAAGTTGGAGTAAGCTTTGCAAGGGCCCTTAGAGATTATGTAGGGGAATTCCTTCCTTATGCATATGGGGAAACTGAGGCCCAGAAGCCATGATCATAGACAGACAGAGAGAGAGGGAAAGTTCTTCTTCAACAATGCAGACATGGTTTAATTTAATCTTGGCCTGAATGGAAGCCTGGTGGAGAAATAACTGAGACCCTTACAAGGTAGCTTCAACTATGAGATCTTATTTTGAGCAGAAGGTTACCTCTTTGTCCTTGGCTTCTAGACTCATACTGTTCTGAATTTTGATATCAGAATCAAGATCAAGAAAATCTTAGCACTAGGGTAATGGATGAATTTCAATGGGAATAAGAAACAACAACAAAGGAAGGGGGTTAAAAAATTACTTGCATAAGGAGAGAAAGGGGGAGTCCACAGCAGCCCCTGTGGACAGGGCCTGAGGTTTTGAGCGGACCCCAGTTCAGTGTGGCCTGACAGTGTGGGAGGGAAGCCAAGCACAGGGGAGCTCTGACTGTGGTGCTGGGGGCAGCGCATTCACTTGGATGGAGGAAGGAGGGTGCTCCACGTCCTCCATGCTGACTGGACAGTCTTAGAGTCCATCCTGACTTGTCCTCATATGGGCACATCTACTGAGGAAGGTGACTGACAAGGCAAAGACATAAAATCCAAAATATAAAAGGAATGTTAGAAGAAAATAGAGATGTTTAACTTGCACAGGAGGAGACCTAACATAGGCCGTGATCTGTCTTCAGGTACCTAAAGAGGTTTCTCATAGGAATGGAGATAGATTCTTCTCTCAGTTCCAAGAGGCAGAATTAAGATTGAGAGGAGGAAGAGGATCACTTAATATAAGAAAAAATAACAATATCACTACTATTTATAAGGACATGGCATGAGATATGTACATACATCATGTATTTAATCTTTCCAACCAATCCTACAATTTAGACAATATAACCCTTCTTTTATAAAAGAGACTGAAATGAATTAAGTAATTTTCCCAAGATCACCCAGCAAGTACTAGTAAGCGTCAGAGTGAGGTTAAAATGAGGTCTGATGCTGGGGCTGATTAGTCCACACCCGTGATTACACCCTAGCCAAGACTGAGTCACAATCATTCTCTTTCTCTGCACTGGGAAGACTCTTTGTAGCAGCTCAGAAGGCAGATTCACATATTTCAACAGTGAACATGGGCTGGTTTTTCCTAGAAGAACTTTTTAGGTGGATTTGGGCCTTGGAAGTGTTGGTGCTGGTTTAAAAGACTATAAAATTGCAATCATTCCTGCAAGTTCATTATTTGATTCCTTCTTGTCTACTTTGAAATATCTGAGTGATCAGGTTAAATGTATGTGCTATTGCCATAACTGGCTTAATTCATACAACCATATAACCGTCTAGTTATTATTTTCTCATCTCATGTCCAATCTATTATGAGAAACTTTGCCAAATGCCTTGTTGGTTTCAAAATCTGTTAAATCAAGGGCAGTGTAGAGACACCATGGTGCATGGGAGAGGGAATGGAGCTTAAAGTCAGATTAACTTGAGTTCAAATTCTAGTCATGCCAACTGTTATATAACTAGAAAAAGTCACTTCCCTGGGCTATTTCTTCTCATCAGAAAATTGTAATCACACACACACACACACACACACACACACACACACACACAGAGGCAGAATATTTTATTGACTATCTGTTTCCCACCACTGAGTTCCCTGAACTTGTCTTTACTTTACCTGATTTCACCAAGGCCTCCCATACCACAGTCTCATCATTTTTGCTTTTAATCTGTAGCCGGATCCCCGACCCCAGATGGCCAACGTAGAACTCAGAGAAGAGCTGGGGTTTCCCAGGGCTTCGATAGCAGAGCTCCAGTTCCTGTAGAAAAAGTGGTGATGTGAGAAGCCACCATCCATTCTGCAAGTGAGGTGTCTCCCCACCTGACACCTTCTTGGCCCTGCTCAGCCCCATGGGGACCCTGGAATGATCTCTACTGAAATTAATGCCACTTCAGGCACTGCTCATTTCCTCATTTTTCACAAATCCTGACCAGAAGGAAGAGGACATGGCTGAGTCAGGACTCATCTCTAGCATAGTGCTCACACATCTTAAACCAGATCCTTCTCCCTCCATCTTGAAACAGATCTGAATTCCTCCATCTTGAACCAGATCCTTCTTCCTCCACCTCCTCTATCTTGAACCCAAATTCACATTTCTCCAGCCCAAAGTCTATCTTCTCAATGTATCCTAAGCTTGACATACTTTCAATCAATAGAAAATTTATATCCATCCCCTTTGCTAAATCACATTCAAGACGACTCTTGATTCCCAACTGTCTTTCATAAATGTTCTCTTCCCATTTTCCCCACACTCAGTAAATGGCACTACCACCCACTGAGCACTCATATTTCAGATTCAGGCATCATCCTTAACTCCTACCTTTCGCTTTCATAAGCCAAGTCCTATTGGCTGTATCTGCAACATATACCCTCAATCCATCAACTTATCTTTATCTCAGCTGCTTCTTCCTTAATCAAGGCATCTGCAGCTCCTGCCTGTACCATAGCAACAGTCTTTTGTTTTCACTATTGTCTTCTTATCACCCATTCTTACCCAGTAGCCAGCAGCATCTATGTGAAACTAAAGCAGGTCTTGTATTACCAAGCAACAACCTCTGAGATCTAGTCATTGCACTTAGAACAAAATCCAAAACTCCACATCAAGGCAACAGAGTTGATGGGCCCTAGGAAACCTCTGTCTCTTGTGTAACCCCACATTACTTTTCTCTTTGCTACACTCATTAAGCTCTGCCACACTGTCCTCCTACTTGTCATGTGGAGGGATTAAGGGTGCCTGCTCCTCTATCCTCTGGACCTGAAGTGCTCTGTTACAGATATTCACCTCCCAGGACCCTTCTTGTCACTCAGGTCTCAGCTTATATGACACTGCTCAGAGGCTTCTCCCCTGACCACCCAGTATAAAGCAGCCCAAGTCACTCTCTTAAGTGGTGTAGTTGTGTTTTCCTCATAGCACTTCATGGTTCTTGGTCCATTTCTTTAATGATGTAGGTCTCATCCACCAGAATGTCATCTTCCCAAGGGCAGGGCCTTTCTGTCTTGTTCACTGGACCATCACAAATGAAGACAGCACATGGTTGGCACTGGGTAAATGTGTGGAGAATGACTGTGTCATGTCTCTCATCCCTTGTTAAGATCTGACACAGCAGGGAAATCTAAGGTATTCATTGTTAGATTCATGTTTCTCAACTCAAAAGATACATAACATTTCCTCATTCCTCCTATAAATGTATTCCATCTGTTATTGTCACTTCAAGTGGTTCAAGGACTCATCTCAGAACAGAAGAAAAAGAAAGGATTGACTTTAGTTCAACGACAGACTACCATTCAGGTGAAACTCTGATCCTCAGCAGCAAGATCTTGGCAATGGTGAACATTTGGATATCATGGATGAATGTCCAGTGGCCTGACGTCATTCCCTTTGGTGAAAAGGGGAGACTGAGAAAGGATAAAAGACAGCTCCTGATACCCAGACCTGATGTGATGCTCACGATTAGACCTCATTGTTATTGCAAACTAATCTGATGCTGCCATCTCTGCTGTGTTGTCCTCCTGTTGGACATATACAATCTCACAATCGCCAAACATCATTCCATCCCACTGCAGATTTGACTATTTCAGCTATTATATCTTCACACTTCATTGCCTGCCCTTCCTAGAGAGAAAATGTGTAGAGGTTCCCAATTACAGAATTGCCCTACCTTCTCAGAATACCAGATCTAGACCAAATCTCCATTTCCTTTGATCTTCCCCCAAATTACCTAAATCCTGAAATAGGTTCTTTCTGAGTTTCTTAATCTGAGGGGCCCCATGGTTCTCACTAGTGTGTGTTCTCTCACTGCAATGAATAATAACCCCAGTGTTTAGCTATGGATGTATTCCTGGTGGTTTTGCTTGGAGAGCATCAACACCCTACAGCCCAATACTTCTCAGTTCCCCTAAGTCAAACCCCATTGCTATTCCTATCCTGAATGTAACCCTTCATCCTACTAGTGATTTTTTTTCCAAATTTTGAAGGATTCCTGCTCACCCCAAATCCCACTCACTATCTGCCAAACCCCAGTTGGGCCTGTCCCTTGGAAATCTCTGAGACCTGACGCACAGGTATTTCTAATCATGACCTCTGGCTTTAGGGAGGGGGGAATATCTGGACTGCTCACCTCAGGGATTATTTCCATTTTCTGTGAACCAGACACAATATATCGGGAGCCTATGTGGAGCGGAGTCAGCGGGGGTGGCTTGTGTATTCGCACAAACTGGAACTTCTTTTTTTCATTATCTACGGCCTAAGGAGCATAAAGAACACTGATCAAGGGAGGAGGGTCTCTGGGTCCCCCTGCAGTATTCCACTCTATCGACTCTAATCTGAACAAAGTGAAGTGGGGCTTTCACGTGTTGATGCTGGTGGGGGGGCTATACCACCATGATCTCTCCCTCCCCTATCCCCCCATGACTGCTACAGAAATCCCCCCACTTGGCCAGAGCTATGTTCAGGGTGGGAATTTGGGCATTGATAGAGAAGAAATGAGAATGGAGAAGTGGGTACACCTCTGTGGATGGAGCCCTCCCATCCTTCTGACTCCTGGAAAAAGATTGCGAAAGGGTGTCCAGCAATGAGTAATGGACCAGTGAGCCCAGTTGGGGGAGGTCTTAGGGACCTACAAGACTAGTCTATATCTTATCCTTACGCCCACTTGACCGATCCAGGGGGCTTTCTGGATGCATGTTATGTCTTTGCCAGCCCACCCTGGCCTGACTGTCTGGCTATTCGAGTACCTTCTCAATGGTGCAGTCGCTGGGGAGTAGGTAGAGGTGGAAGTTGACTTCCTCAGGATGGAGGCGATGGTAGAGTAACACATTGGAGATGACAGGAATGCTCAGGAAAGAGTGAATCTTTCTCAGTAGAACTCCCATGGGGGAGAAGCTGGGATTCTCGAGGACTGTGTAACATGGCTCCACCCTGGTTGGCTTCTCCAGAAGTATCCCATCCTCTTTAAAGTGGGCTACTTGGAACCATGAGATGTCCACACCTTCCTCTGTGAAAAAATGGATTTGAGAGATGAGTACTTAGTGCCCTCACTGAGTCAGGCTTGACTGGGACAGTGTGGTCCTTGTGCAGAGGTTCAGTGGCCTTTCTGGGGGAACCAGCAGGGAAGGCAGTGTGCCTGTGTCTGGGGCCTTTTGGGCTTGTGGTCAGTAGGTTCTCTCCAGTTGGAGCACCGCTGGAATCTTCTTGAGCCAAATCTATACACACCCTCAGGTCCTTGAGCTGGGAAAGATATGGATCCCATGGTTACCTGTGTTACTGTGCATGCTGTAACTTTGAGGGCCATTGAGTAATGCTGGCAGGTGTGACTCCAGTCAGATAGAAATAAGGAGAAAGAGAGTCGGAAATGGAGTGACCAAGGTAGTGTACATTTGTCGTGTTTGGTCACCCACCATTTTTAGATTCTTCTTTTTGTGAAGAACCTCCTCCTCCATCATTGTGTGGGTCTTGGCAAAATACAAGCTGGGCCTCCCACTCGGGAAGCTTGTTGCACAGGTGTGTGACCAAGACTTGACCAAGTGGATGCTTCTAACCAGGGCGTTGATTTAGAGGTGATGAAGCACAGATGAAAAGACAGAGATTCTTTTGGCAGCAGCAATGGGGTCAAGAGATCAGCAGCCACCATGGCAGGAGGGCTTTATAGTGGTTGTGTCTGCCCTAGAGGTCTCTCTTTTTTTTTCCTGTTTAGACCTTGGCTGTGTTATTCTTTTCTCAACAGTCTTTGGTCACTGCTTTTTTTTTTCTTTTATCTGTAAGACTTGTTGCCTAATTGTTTCTTAAGTTTATGAGCTACTCAATAATCTTCTTATACATTCCTTTTATGTTCAAATCAGCCTTAGTCTGCATGGTCACCTATCAGCACATTCGAATTGATTTAATACCAAGAGGAGCCTTGGAGACTGCTACTTAACTTTATTAATTTATTAAATGTGTAAAAATATTTTTTAAATACATTTTTTTGTTAATCCTCATCCAAGGATATTTTTTCCATTAATTTTTAGAGAGAGAGTGCAAGGTAAGGTGAGAGACAGAGAAAGAGAAACGTCCATGTGGGAGAAACACATCAATTGGTTGCCTCCCACAGTTGCCCCGACTGGGGCTGGGGATTGCAACTGAGATACATGCCCTTGACCAGAATCAAACCCGAGACCCTTCAGTCTGAGGGCTGATGCTCTAACGACTGAGAAAAATGGGTTAGAGCTATTAATTACTTTTTTTTTGCATGAAAAATAGTATCATGGTGGTGTATACCACCTGAAAAAATACAGAAGTATTTACCTCTGATCACACTAAACAGTACAACTATTATTACCATCTTCCCCTTTTCCATTAGTCTTTCTCTGTAGCAGCACCTTTTCGTGTTTCCATTTTGGTCATGTAGCTTTGTCTCCTGCCTTTCCCACACTGGTTTAAATAGTCGCAAGCGCCTGTGGGACTTTTAGTGACTGCAGTACATGATCCCTGCTGTGGATGCAGCATCCCTCATTCACCGCTTTCTTCTGGTTTCAGCCTAGGGGTTGCTTCCACCTTTTCGCCATGATAAATAGTCCTGCAATGCACATGTTTCTGCAGAGAACTTTTCTATTTCCCTTGGGCTACTACCTTGGATTGATAAGTCCTAAGGAATGAGAAAAGGGTGTGAAAGGATGTGAGTAATCCTATGACTTGCCAGGTTTTGCCAAATTGCTTCTCCATGAAGTGGTGCACTTTGCATTGCTTTGGTGACACTAAGTGGATGTTACCTCGTCCTCCACAAACTGAAATATTCTCACGTATTAGTTGGGTGAACTGAAGCTCCTGGAGGGAAGTGCTTTTCAGAAGGTCACGAGTCACCTATAGCCTTTGGGTGAGATCCCTGCTCTCAGAGCACAGTTTGCGGCACTACAGACACTCTGTGCCTGAATTCTGTTTCATTTAAAAAATTATTATTATGATGATGATCATTATTATTATTTGTGTGTGTGTGTGTGTGTGTGTGTGCCTGAATTCTGGAAGGTGCTGTGTGTGCATCCAACTTGCCTTCTTGCTAGGATGACCCATTGTCCTGGCTATCTCACACCTCCCCACCACTGTTTTACTGCTGAATCTTCCCTAGTTACCCTTCCCTACTGACCCTGTCTACCAAGCCAGATGCCTCTGGACCCTGGAGTCTCTCCCATTGGGACTGGCCTCCTGTGCCCGTGCTCTCCTACTGGGCAGCTTGAATTATTTACTTAATCTTGTGGTCTCAACAAATGAGCCTTCTCTGGGTCTGGGCAGTTTTTTGCTATTTTAGTTTTCTCATTCTATTTTTCTGTTTCTACTATATATATTTTTTGACTGAGGATCCTAATATTTTAGTGTGTGTACTTAAAGTCTAAAATATATCAATGCTTGTACCTGGAGGTGATACTGAATGGATTTAACTACTGGAAGTGTGCCATAATCCTATATAATAAAAGGCTAATATGCAAATTGTCCCCTTGGGAGTTCGACTGGGAGACCAGGAGTTTGATCACTGGCTATGATTAGCATTGACCACAAGGGGATGGTGCGGAACATGATGGGCAACCTGCGGTGGCGGTGGGGCTCTGAGGGATCGAGGGAAAGAGGTGGGGAAGTGGGGAGGTGGGGAGGCGGGGAACCGAATCGACACTGATCACTGGCCAGGCCTAGGGACCTACCCATGCAAATTTTCATGCACCGGGCCTCCAGTTTAATATGTCAGTCTATACAGATATGCATTGCTGGACTATGGGGATATGGTCTGAGAAATGCATCTTTCAGCAATTTGATCATTGTGTAAACATCATAGAGTCCATGTACACAAACCTAGATGGTGTAGCCTACTAAACATCTAAGCTATATGGGCTACTATCATCGTATATGTTTTCTGTCATTAACCAAACCATTGATATGTGATACATGACTGCAAATGAAACATTAAAATTATATCTCCCTTTATTATCTAAATGAACTATGCATATCATAAAAGTACTTATAACTGATATAGCTGTAACATGACTTGTTTATTAAATCATGTATATATATATATAAAAGCCTAAATGACCGAACGACCGAACGAGTGTATTACTGGGCACTATGATGTGCACTGACCACCACGGGGCAGACGCTCAATGCAGGAGCTGCCCCCTCGTGGTCAGTGTGCTCCCACAGCCAACCTCCTGTGGCCCCTCCCCCTGGCTGGCCCGATCAGCCCTGGACCCCAATTAGGGCGGGAGACAACCCTGATTGGCCCCGATCGCCAGCCAGGCTGAGGGACTCCACCTGTGCATGAAATCATGCACCAGGCCTCTAGTTCTATCATAATTAAAGTTCCTGTCTGGATCATGATTTGACATAGGGAACTGAATCAGGTTCTTCCAACTTTCACATTAGATTGATAGACATTAGTTCCATGACAGCCAATGTCATCTGGGGTGCATCTGATGCCACTCATGGCCTGGACTGGAAAGCCTGTGTTGCCTCAGCCTGCACATGTGCAGGCCCATTACTTGACTCCGTGGCCAACACTGGCTGATGTTGGCAGGTCACTTGTGGTCTCAAAAAGGGGAGAATTTCTCTTTCCTGATCAGGATGGAAATATTTTAGCATTTTAACCCAGAAGGCAGTTCTAATGCGGCCTTCGTCCTCTTTGTGAATTAGACACTAAGACCTTCGTATTCTTTAGCACTCTACCTGCTATTTCTGTTCACATTTTAGTTTTCTCTCTTTTAAATCCCCACACATTAGACATTATTACTGTTGCTTTATCCAGTCATCAGTTTGTTAGATTTACCTAGTTGGGTGTCAGTATCTTTGCTGGTTATTTCATCTTGTACTGCATACCTTATGTATGGGATCATTTCTCTGTTGCCTGAGTTACATCCTTTAGAATTTCCTTCAGTAAGTATTTCTGGAAAGATATCTTGGTTTTAGTTTGTTTTAAAATGTCTATTTCACCTACTTTTTAAACAATAATTTTTCTGTGACTGTAATTCTTGATTAACAGTCATTTGCTTAATCCAGTGGTTCTCAACCTTCCTAATGCCCTGACTCTTTAATACAGTTCCTCATGCTGTGATGACTCCCAACCATAAAATTATTTTCGTTGCTACTTCATAACTGTAATTTTACTACTGTTATGAATCATAATGTAAATTGATATGCAGAATGTATTTAAGTGACCCCTGTGAAAGGGTCATTCAACCCCCAAAGGGGTCGCAACCCACAGGTTGAGAACCGCTGGCTTAATCCTTTGAGGTTTTTATTCCATTGTCTTCTGCCTTCCATTGTAGCTGTTCAAAATCAGTTGTCATCCTAATGGGAGTACCTTGCTCCATAATCTTTCTGGCTGCTGTTAAAACCTGCCCTTAGATGTCTGTATTCTGTAGATTCACTTCAATGGGTCTGGTGCTGATTTCTCTCTGTTCCTCTCTCCTGCTTTGAATTTTTGGGATTTCTCCTTAGAAATCACATCTTTCTGCAATTATAGGAATTTCTTTGAAATTCTCTTTGAATATTACTTTTTCCTTTCTCTCTATAATATCCTTCTAGAATTCTGACTATATGTATATTCGGCCTCTTTGTATCTTCCATGTCACTTAATCTTTTCTTATTTATGCTTTATCATATTTTCTGACAATTTAGATTATTTTCAAACTTGATTTATCATTTTTAGTGTGTAAGAGACAGTGAGGGTCCAGGAAAGGCCTGACCCCACTCCAAGTCATGTAAAGGACATGAACTTGGCTTACACCCCAGTTCTTGTGATCTAGGCAAGCAGACATTTGTCATAGCAACTGATTGTCATAGTAACTGTCAAACATAGATGGATCTAGACAAAGCTTGCCCAGTCTTGCCCAGCCTGTAACGATCTGCTACTTCCCTATAACAGGCCAAGCCCTAGTAGTGATTTATGAAGCATGACTAGCTACAGCTTAGCTATAAAACAGTGTGTGTAAAAAATAAAGTTGCTGGTGCATTGTGCCAGTCCTCCTAACCCCGGTCTCTTGTATTTCATCCCACGCCACCTCTATCCTGCGGGACCCTTGGGAGCGGGCCTCCACATTAGTGGTTTATTGTTTCTTGCTCATATTTTAATGACTATTCATGAAGCATAAGAAACATACTTAGTTTGCATTCTCCTTTTGATAACTTAAATGTCTGAGGGTTTTTTGTTTGTTTGTTTGTTTTTTAAATATGGACCGCTTTACAAATTGTTGTGTCACCCTTACGCAGGGGCCTTGCTAATCTTCTCTGTATCATTTCAATTTTAGTATATGTGCTGCTGGAGCGAGCACTGTCTGAGGTCTCCATGGGACTGATATCTGGTCGAGGTTTCTGTTGGTTTTCAGTGCTTTTGAGGTTTTGACTGTGAACTTTATAATTTTTGGAACTTTTCTGTGGGAAGTCTTTGGAGGTGAGAGAGGTTTGGATAACCATGTAACTCTATGACTATGTCTCTTACTGAAATGCCCTTCTTTTGTGGCTTGAACTCTCATATGGAGTTTGGTGACACGGTTTCTCCTCCCTGCCTGTAGCAGTAGCAATGACTTCCCTTTTGTTGTTAATTTTTAGGTGCCCAACCTTACTAGTTCGTTCACTTAACCTTACTTTGCAAATGGTCTTGTCTTTGAAAAGTCTCATTAAAAATCTCAAATGAATATATCATATATTTTCTGCTGGGACCCTAAATTATACAATCTATGTGAAGAGAACATAACAAATTATAGCTATTATTGTTATTGAGGAGACCCCTTCCTCCCTCCCTCC